AGTAGCTTCATCTGGTCTGTTCCTGTTTGGCTGTGACTCCATCCTGGAGAGAAATATCAGCTGTTCTGCTGCCATCAACACCTTTGTTTATAGATATTTGAGATCGGCCTGTTTTTCAGTGTAGTCCTGTTTCTCTGACTGTGACCAACTGGATGTGCTCTTCATCCTCTGACATGGGAGCTGGCTCGGAGCTCATCCGCCTGGCTGTGTGTTTCCTGGATGGAGCCGCCTTTGCAGCTGGTTGACCGTTGCCTTCTGTATCTCTGCTTACTTCTGTATGATTCCTTCTGTCACCTCGATCCCCAGCCATCCTCGCAGATGCCCGCTCACACCGAACCTGGTTCTGCTGGATGTTTCTGCCTGTTACAAGGGAGTTTTTCCTCTCCACTGTCGCTACAGGCATGCTTAGTGTGAGGGATTGCTGAGGAGTCAATGAGTCGATGTAATCAGCTGGTTTTCCTTATATAGAAAACAAAATGCAAGCGAAGGTTGTTGCCGCAAGCTCATCCAGGAGCATGTCTCTTTAAAGTGCTTTAAGATGACATATTGTGTATTTGAGCTATAGAAATAAACTGAATTGACAGAAGTTTGACTGTCTTATGATCTTGAATATTTAAAAATACTGATGAAGCTTGTGCATTCAGAAAATACATTTATATCTATTAAACATTAAATTACATTTTAGTGAATTTGAACGGCAAGCTTCAGGGTCTCAGGAGGATATAACCTTTGATTGAAGAACAGAACAGTGAGGATGGCAAATACATCACTGTCACTGTAGAGAAAAGCAGATTTTGGTTCATTCTGAATGAATAACTGGATTTACAGGACAGTCCGGGTCTGGAAGGGGTGCTTCTCTCTACGATGTGCAGTAACACAGATCACACAGACATGGTTATTAATGAGGCCAAGTCTCATATTTATTATAGCTTTATTAAAGTTAGAAGGGTTCATTCCACACAGGGTAGAACATATTCTTTACAACTGCCAAAAAATATATTTTACTCACCATTTTTCATTTGGCATCATATAACTCTTGGATAAATCAAAGACAATTTTAACCTTAAAAAAAAAAAAAAAAAATCACATTGTCCATTAACACAATGAATACTGGAAAAGTCACATTAAACATTGTATGGTTAACCAAAGAACAGCCATCTGTTTGTAACCCTATCATGCTGCTACAGATGCACCACAGCCTTTGGACTCTGATCTGTGGAACTGAAATGGACCTTATGTTTCAGCAGATTGCGACACATGGCAACAGAGACACACGTGCAATAACAGCTGCATTCTCCAAAGGAAGGGCATGCTTCCTGTCTTCGCTAAACAACACTAAAGGGAACTCTGCTATCGGCTGAAAAAGGCCAAAGATCAATTCCCATTAGTTAAAGCAGGACATGCAGACATCTGGCTTCTCATTGCTGACGTACATTAATTAGCTGCGCATCAACTCACATCTAAAGTGGTTGAGTCGTGTTTT